TATTAGAAAAAAATACTTTAAGGAGGTCTTTTGCAGCAGATTTGCCCAATTCAACATGTCATTTGATTTTTTTGACTGTTGCTTCCCTCGTTGTTGATTGTGGATCCAAATAAAATGAAACCCTTGACAACTTCGGTCTTTTCTCAATTTACAATAATGTTGTTTATTGGTCCATTTGTGAGGATTGTTTTCTTTATGCTGAGGTGCAATCCATATAAAAGGCTCTAGTCTTTGATCTTCTTCAAGTCCTCTTTACTTTCAGGAAGCAAGGTTGTATCATGTGCAAGGTTGTAGGATGTTAATGAGTCTTCCCTCAGTCCTGATTATGTAAGATTATTGTACTAGCCCAGCCTCTCAGATGACCTTGTTATGAGATTTAAAGTTGCTTCCCAGAACTTCACAGTCTCATCTGTTATGCTCACAATTTTCAATTCCAGTAATTTTCCAGTTACACAACCAGTGAGTTGTTCCTTCCTTGTCAAGTCCAATTTCAATTCATGTACCCCACTTCCCTTCATCAAACACACATTCAAAAGCCCCATCCATTTTGATCCAGATTTCCTCAGATTAGTAAATAATATCATATTCTATCATTGAATTCTAAAGTTTATCAGATTTCCATTTCACAATACGAACATTTTTACTCCAAACAGTTGTCTTTAATGTCCTTTAGCAACTTTGTTCACATTGAATCCAGTTCTCATCCTTGTTTTTTGAGCTCTAGCCCATTTCATAGGCAAGAATTATGAGGTATTGAAGATTACACATATGACTCAACAATAACAAAATCTAGATTTTAATGGACTAAAAGGTTGACCCAAGGGGGAGGGGGAGAAATAATTGATGAGAGACCACAGTCCACAGATATGATCCAAATTCTTTACCCTGTTCAGTTGACCATCTCCATTGTTTTCTGTGGCAAAGTCCCATAGTCCTTTGCAAGGCACTCATCTCAGCACCAACAATGAAAGCAGATTGTCTGTCACTGCTGTTCTCCCTGGATCTGCATCTGAGTTAATTGGCTCCTTTCATTGTGAAATGTAAACTGCTCAACAGGACTGATTTTCATTTAATTCACTTACAAATCATCTGCTCATCAGTCCTTGGAAATACTGCTCTGCCTTCCCATTTCCAGAAATAATTACATGTGCCTAATATATACAGGATGACGAGGCAGGCCCCGTCCCTTCTCCCTTTAATGGTCCTTCTTAGAGAACTCTTTGTGTCTAAGTTATTTTATCATGACAGTGGTTGCATACTCCCCTGAGACTGAAGGTTTCAAATTCAGGCTTAAGAAGAAGGTATACAAGCCTTAATTTTTTTAAACATTTGTCAAAAGAAAAATTTTACCAATGTTATAATTTGGAATTTTACTTGGCTTACAGATTCATTAATTGAACAACCCAATTTCTAATACAACTAGAAATGTGCTCCCCGAAACAAAGATAGACTAGAGATTTGTATGATGTTATTGTATGTTGTCAAGTCGATTCTGACTCATAGGAATCCTATAGGATCATATTGAAGAGAATTGTCCCAAAGAGTTTGCTCTTTGGATCAAAATGGATGGGACTTTTGAATGTGTGTTTGATGAAGAGAAGTGGGGTACATGAACTGAAATTGGGCTTGACAAAAAAGGAACAACTCACTGGTTGTGTATATTTATAGCCAGAGTGCTCCCTGGAAGCCAAGATGGCCAGACTTTGTCGCTCATACTTTGGACATATTATCAGGAGGGACCAGTCACTGGAGAAGGATGTCATGTTTGGTAAAATGGAGGGTCGGAGAAAAAGAGGAAGACGCCAATGAGATGGATTGGGACAGTGGCAGAAGCAATGGGCTCAAGCGTAGCAATGATTGTGAGGTTGGTCCAGGACCAGGCAGTGTTTCATTCTGTTGTGCTATGAGTCAGTACCGACTCAATAGCGTCTAACAACAATTTACAGGAGCAGGTTGTCATGTCCCTGCTCTCCCAGAGCAGGATAACATACTCAGATAGATTAGAAAAAAAACAGGGGAAAGGCAGAACAAAGTTAGTCATTAGTTTTACCACACTATCAAATCATGAAGGAGTGCTAGTAGTGCAGTGGTTAAGCACTCAGCAGCTAAAGGAAAGTTCAAACCCACCAACTGCTCCACAGGAGAAGGATGTCACCATCTGCTCCTACAGAGATTACAGCCTTGGAAAACTTAGGTCAGTTCGACTCTATCTTGTTGTTAAGTCAGTTTTAACCCTTTATAGAGTTTCTCAGGAGTGACTGATAAATTTGAACTTGTGGTTTGCAGTCCTGTGCTTATCCTACAGTGCCATACCAGGACTCTATCTTATGGGGTCACTGTTGTTAAGTGCTGGAGAGTTGGTTCTAACTCATAGCAACCCTGTATAGGGTTTCCCAGGTGTCGACCTTGCCGTTCAAACTGAACTTTCGGTCCAGTATGTATCCTACAATGCCACACCAAGACTCCATAGGGTCGCTAGGAGTCGAAATCAACTTGAGGGCAAAAGACCTTTTTTTTTTGGAGCATTTGAGCATGTACATACAGTAAAACTGTACATAAACAGAAACGTTTTGTGCATATCAAGAAAGTCAAAAGAGACAGGAATTTTGGTGAGGCCTTGACGTGATACTGCCCAGAGCTAGGTTCCAGTGAATCTGGAAGAAGATTAAGTAGATTCTATCAACAGATTCACTGGTCTGACTTTCCAGAGAAAGTGGGGTACAGGCCACATGTGAGAATGCTACAGGACATGCAGTCGTCTTCCAAGAATAGTGATTTTTTCTGAGCATTTATGCCCAGCTCAGCACTGGTTTTCTTACCAGAGATTTCTCTCTTGTTCTTTCTCCACAGATATACTGGAGACCCGTCTTTTGGGGAATTGGGTTGCAGTTTCTTCTTGGGCTCTTAATTCTAAGGACGAACCCTGGTTTTGTGGCATTCGATTGGTTGGGCAAACAAGTTCAGGTAAGTTTGGTTCAAATGAACATCTTGCATTTGGATACAACTCTCAGTCTGTCCAAAATAGGTGTATTTGTCTCCATTAGTTGGCCCAGATTTTAATTTTGTAGGTTGAGTTAGATAAACAATCTTATTTACATACACTATGCTAATCTATTTCATTTAGTAGCATTATTACTCACATTGTTCACCAAATCATTCTATCCATGTTTCCCCCTTCATCCTGCCCAAGGACATCATGCTTCTAAGATAATCCTAAAAGCAGAAATAGGTTTTCTTTGCATCTAGTGTTCACTCGTACTTCCACACTCCATCCATGATTTTCTGGAGCAAATTACCATACTGGGCTCGCCCTTAACCCTCTCAGAGTCAGACTGAACGTCAGAAGCAACAGGAAATCTCTGCAGGCATACTTCAATAATATACCATCTCACCCTTCACTGAGAAAATGAGCTTCCCCTGTCTGCCCAACCAATGTGCCAGTTCTCTTCCCTTTGCTGATCCTCGAGAGTGCTGGGCACATTAGCCGTGACTTAGTGGTTTTATGATGTGCTCTTTTTCTTCATTTGACTCAGACTTTCCTAGGGTACACTGACGCTGGTGCTGCCTTTGTCTTTGGTGAGAAGTATGAAGACCACTTCTTTGCATTCAAGGTAAAGTCAACTTCTTTTCTATGTTGTTGTTGTTCTCGAGTGCCATTGAGTCACTTCTGACTCATAGAGACCCTGTATGCGGTTTACAAAGAGTTTGAGGTTGAAACCAACCTTGTGGTCCAATGCTTATCCTACAGCACAACATCAGGACTCCTTTTCTATGAAGAGATGCCTTCTCGGGAATTTGTCAGTCTGTGAAGATTTTTATGTAAAACCTATCATTGATATGGAGTGAATTCTGACTCACAATAACCCTACAGGTAGAGCTGCTCCATAGGAATAACAAGGCAGTAATCAGTATGGAGAAGAAGCTCTGGTGTGGCGCTGTGGGTTAATGCGCCAGACTGCAAAGCCATTTGAACTACAAGGTCAGTGGTTCAAGCTCACCAGCTGCTCCTCGGAAACCCTATACAGAGTCGCTATGGGTCGGAATCGACTCAACAGCACTTAACAACAATCATTATGGGGAAGGAGCTCTGATAGCATAGCAGTTACTAGTATGGCCACTAACCTCAAAGTCAGCAGTTTGAAACTACCAGCCGTTCAGCAGGGTAAACATGAGGCTTTCTGCTCCTGTAAAGATTTACAGTGTTGGAAACCATATACAGGGTCACTATGAGTCAGAACTGACTCAATGGCACATACCACTAATCTTTATGGGGAGCTCTGGTGGCATAGTGGGGTGTGTAATGAACTGCTAACTAAGTCAGCACTTTGAATCCACCAGCTGCTCTGTGGGAGAAAAATAAAGCTTTCTGCTCCTGTAAACATTTACAGCTTTGGAAACCCTATACAGGGTTGCTATGGGTCGGAACCGACTTGATGGCACTTAACAACAACAACAACAAATGAGTTGAAACTGACTTGATGGCACACAACCACCACCACCACCAATGTTTATGGAGGCAGATAACCATATCTTTCTCCTGTGGAGTGAATGGTGGAATCAAACAGTCAACCAAGATTAGCAGCTGAGCTCTTAATCAATGCACTACCAGAATTCCTTAGACAGAACCTAATAGATCAAAAACCAGGCATAGCAGAATAGATAGAGGAACAGAAGGTACTTCTTGAAATAAAGACCAGCAGGAAAAATAAAAAACAAAAATGGTAGTCTGATTGGCTACTACAAAAACAAGCAAATTGTTTGTTGGGGAGCCATCAAGGCAAGTAATCAAGTCCCTTCAAGACCAATCCCCCTCCAAGACTAAAACTCAAAGGGAGCACACAAGCAGGCATGCAAACTTGCTGGCGACCACATTGGTCTGCTGGTGAGTGGAAGAGGCAGAAAGCAGCAACTGAGATATGGGCCGAGTTCGACCATGTTCCATAGACTGCTGTCGACCTGGAGATGAGAGAGAGAAAAAGAGGTGGTGGTTGGTCAGAAGTGTGCTGAGACTTGTGGACTCCTGAGCCCAGGGACAAGGACATAGCCACAGAGGGCTGGAGCTAAAAGCAAAGTGCCCAGCTTATGTGAAGTAACAGGAGATGCATAAGAATGCCCAAACTTGTAGATAGTACTTGTTCAACCTGGCTTCAATGGCTTGATGATCAGAACTCAACCAGAGGAAGATAAAAGAAAAAAAAAAAAATCCTGTTTCGTGGTTTGTTTAAATAAAAGAAACAAGTATAAATTGCTACAATTTGATGAACTTGACCTATACTTAGGGATGTAGTATCTCAAAATACCAACTGAAAGGGAAGGAGTCTTCACATCCAAATTCAATCCTATCCCCTCTGTATACAGGGTTGATGAGGATGGACAACTTAGATGTTGGCTGCCTAAAATGTGGGGGATGGGAGCTACAAAGGCATGAAGTGGCTGGCTTGCAAGTTTTCAAGAGGAAG